GAGTTTCATTCCAGTAATTTCATACCTGGAAATTAAAGGAGATTTAAGCTTTGAGGAGGCTGTGAATCAGATTTCTTTGGAAGTTTCCTGTAGGAAAGCATTGTCTCAAGGCTTGCAAATGTTTCTGGATCACTTTTAAACCAGGTTGCGTTTAAACCACCACGGAGTCTCAAGAACTCCAGAGCTGGAGCTTATTCACTCAGTCCCAAAGTTGGCAACCCCCAACCTTCAGAGCCATCAAGGAAGGAATGTGCAGGTGGGTGCCAAGCCACTTCCCTCTACTTCAGACAAAAGAGCTCAGATTTCCTGCCCCGGTTGTGGGGGGACGGCCCACTCCAGGGCAGCGTGTCCCTCACCGAAGGCAGAGAAGCCCAATGATTTCAAAGGGAAATCTGATCACACTTTTAAACATAGAAATTATTCTATTTTTTTAATAATGAAAAGAATAGAGAGATACTTTTAGATTCTGGAGCTATGCAGTCACTGTTTAGCTCAGAGGAATCGTCAACTGAAGTACAAGAATTAAAAATGCCGATCAGAGTGTTTCTGGCCAATGGGAACTTTCTGAAGGCAAATCGTGTTGGAACTGTGATTTTACCTGTGAATGATGCGGAAGGACAACTTAACATTGAGAATGTCCTCCTGATTCCGGAACTAAAAACAGATATCCTGTCAATAAGTGAACTGGCCAAACCAGGATGTGAAACACTTTTTAATGCTCGTGGCCATTTTGTTATAAAAGATGGACCAGACCTATGTCAAAGGAAAATTAGTAAGCAGACTTTATAGTGTGGAAAGGAATGAAGATTTTTGCATCGATTTCTGCTCTCCTGAAGTGTACCATGAGAATTCTGAATTGTTTGAAAATGATGCGTTAATTGTACACAGAGCAATGCCCCAAAAGGAATGTGTAGAGATACCAGATGAATGTGATCAAACTCCAAAATATGAAGGTGTGGCAAAACTCGAGTCAGACAGTGACTATGAGGAGAAACCACCTACCCAAGAAGTAAATGTTGCTAACACTTGCAACACAATGGATGCAGTACCCTGTGGTATAGGAGAACATGCCATAGGAATATTCAAAACGTTAAAGACATGCAAAATAAGGGCTTGGTGAAAGGTGTAAACTTTACTGAACGTGATTCTAATCCAACTTGTGTTTATTGTTAACAAGGAAAAAGCAGTAGACAGCCATTCCCTCAGCACAGCACAAGGAAGACCACAGCCTCACTGCAACTGATCCATACTGACTTGGGGGTGGGGGGGGACCTCTTCCTGCTACCCTCGGTGGGTACTGTTATGACAATGCTCATAGAC